TGGTGTGCTTCCATTGTGGCCCACGGAGCAATTCAGTCCTCAGCCTTCCCGGGGCACTTGGAGCGTCTGCGTTCGGAGTTCTGCTGGAGCCTCGGCCTCTGATGTCTCAAGCATCCATGGGCGTTCACCCCAGATGTGTTTATACCCAGGCACTGGCAGACTGCTGGGCGGTGTGTCTGCTGGAGAGGCTCTCAGGAAACCCTACAGCAGGGCCTCTGAGAGCAGGGATCCACTCACTCTTTCTCCCATCCTTTAAATGTATTCACCAAATATCTCTGAGGCACAGTGCCAAGTATGGAGATCCACAGATGGGAACATAGTCCTCGACTCACAGTCTAGTAAGGGAGGGCCATGTGTCACCAGACAGTGGACACACAGAGTAATGCTGTGTGCCAGGAGCATGGGGAGGGCGGCTATGTCTCCCAGGATGCTTTGGGCTGCAAGTAACAGAGTGGGGCCATGTCGGGAGATGCATGCTATTGAGTGGCCCCTCCCTGTCCCTTTCTTCCTCTGTCACCATTGTCCTCACTTCACGTGTGCTCTGCTCTCCTTGTCCTGCCCACCTACCCACACCGTTCTTGGAGTGAGTCTTTTTTGCTTGTCCACTTTCTTCAACTGCCTCCCGGTGCCCCACACTCCATGGTCCCCTCCTCCTCCTGGATGGTGTCTGTCCCTCAGCCTCGTTTGCTGGTTCTCCTCTTCTCGTGGACCTCATCAAGAGGTCTGGGGTTGCCCAGGGCTCGGGCCTTATAGTCCCTTCACTTCTCTGTCTCTACTCAGACCCTCAGGGTTCTCACCCGGTCTCATGGCATTAATTTCAAAAGGGGCTGTTTCCTGCATCACAGCGCCCTTGGGAAAAGCATTTTGGGGGGCTGTGAGTTTCAGTCTTGAAATAACACCAAGTGGATCAATGAACCACTGTGAAGCCAGGACTCAAAGTGGGAACATACTGAGCACTGCCTCGAGCATGTCAAAAGGCAGAGGGGACAGAGGAGCACTCCCCCCGGCCCCCACCCCTGCACTCACACAGCAGAGAAGGAGGGACAATGTCCCACACATGTTCATGGTGTGACTGCCGCTGGCTGCCCCAAGGACAGCAGGGATGAGAGGCCTGGGGAGCGAGGCAAGCTGCTCACAGGGCAGAACCCCTGGAAGTTGTGTCCATTCAGTCTGTTTGGGGGACAGGATGGGCTCAGGGAGCAAAGCAGACTCTGCATTAGGAAGGTGTCTGGCCACTGCGGGAGGAGATGGAGACCGGGCGGCCTTACTGAAAACCTGAGGGGGCTCCAGCTGCCGGGACCCTCACTCCATGAGGCCCCTTCCAAGGCCCTGGGGGGGAGAATTTGAGGTTTATGCCATTGTTGAATTTTTAAAAATGGGTTATTTGTTGTAAGTTTTCCCCTCATTTTAAATGAACATCCACTTTCTATATCTAACATTGTATTTTTAAAATTTGTATTTATAAAAGAGGGTCCTCAAATTGTATTAATATAAGCTCAGCCCCTATAGAACCTGGGTCTGCCCCTTAGTGGAGAAACCTGCCCCCGCAGGCAGGTTGAGAGTTCTGGCCTACTGTTTTTCTGCGGTGTGACCTGTGTCACTTAAGCCATTTGCATTGCTGCTTTTTTCAGGCACCTAATAAGAATTTGATTCCCCAGAGCCAGTCAGTTTGGGCTCCAATTTTCATTTTCTGTGCTTTCCCCAATCCTTTAGAGAGCCGAAGCTGCACACACACAGTTGGAGGACTTGTGAGGCTGGAGCGCCCTCTGCTGGTCATACAGCGGGTACAGCCAGGAGAGAGGTACAAGTTGGGAATGCCTGCTGCAAAGCCCAGCTGTTAGGATGCCGGCAGAGAGAACAGGTGGGTCTGAGGGCTTAGTACACAGGCAAACCACTCTTGTTGGGCACAGACAACCTTTTACTGGGCATGGACANTGTCCAGAGAGGGCCTCCAGGAAGCTGGCAGCAGAAGCCGTGCCTTTTGGTTGTGACTTTGTGACTTGGCTGTCGACCTTCCCTAACATTTCTGAGCCTTCGTTTCCCTGTCTGTGACAGTGGGAGTGTACACGGGAGCTGAGCAGCAAAAGAGAAGCGGCCTTGGCAAGCCTTTGAAGCTGGGAGAAGCCTTAGAAGTACAGGGGCTCAAGAAGTATAGGGGCTCAAGAAGCATAGGGGCTCAAGAAAGCCCTAACCCAGGCTTGAGCTGGGAGAAGAAGGGAGGGGCGGGCGGAGGAGGGAGGCGGAGACTGGTGTGTGGTTATGAGTGGGGGGCCACACAGGGGAAGCCTGCCGGGACACATATTGAAACTGGTAAGTTCATCTACTTTTTTGCCCACTTCCATCCTCCCCTGCAGAAGCAAGTCTTCACTCCGTTTCACCGAATCCCCTCCCTCACCCTTTTCTCTGGGTCTTACTCGAGGTTAGCTGACCACAAACTTCCCACAAGGGTAAAGAATGAAAGCCTGAAGGGAGGCCCAGGAGTTGAGGCTCCCAGGAACATTTGCATCTTAGTAGTGAGTGGATTAGTAGCCCCGGATCCTGGGAGATGCTGAGGAAGGAGTCTTGGGTGGCCCAGTTCTCAGTCTCAGGGACAGAAGGTGGAAGGTGTTGAGACAGGTCCTGCCCTGGGGCTCCTGGCTCCCACCTGGCCTGGCTGCTCTCTGCCTGGGAGTGTAGGCTCTGCTGGGTCTGGCTTCTGAGCGCCAGGCCAGGCTCCAGGCTGAGCCCCAGGCAGACCCCAAGGCGAAGTCTCACCTTTCCCCCCATCCTCCCCAACACACGGAGTGTTAGGTCCCCTCTCCACCCTCTTCTGTGAAGCCTGGATCCTCCCAGCTCTGGCCGGGGACGCAGGGCCAGCTCCCCTCCTGCCAGCTCTGTTCCCCGCACTGTCTGACCCTGGACCAGCTGTGAGTGAGGGGAAGGCCACAGGAGCAGCTGGCTGGCCTCTGGGAGGTAGAAGCCAGGAGTCTGCCCAGCCCATGCAGGCTGGCTCAGGCCAGGGAGCAAGGCCAGCAGGCCCCAGCAGCACGGTGGAGAGATTTCTGAATTACCTGCTGGCTGAGGGCCAGAAGCCAGAGCAGGCCTGGGCAGGCCCTGCTGGCCCCGAGGAGCTTTTCTCCTGGCTCTGAGGCCGCACCGCCTCCGCTTCCCACTACCCTCTGTCTGTGGTGCCTCAGAACTGCAGTCTCTTCCAATGGTGAGCTCCTCAAGGGGCTCATCATCGCCTCCCACGCCCCCATTTGTGGAAGAGGCAGCCTGGGGCCCAAGGAGAAGGGCCATGTGCTCCCCTAGTCCCCTTCCCTTTTTTCTTCCTCGTCTTACCTGAAACCTGTTGAGGTCAGGGCTGTTCTTTCTCTCTTCGCTTTTCCAGAAACACAAATTCCTACTGGCCAAAGTCCAGAGGAGGCCTCTCCAGTTTCTTCACCTTCGCTGGAGTTGCTGAGGGGGAGGATGGTAGGTTGGCTGCTCCAACACCCTCCAATTCTGTTTCTCAGACAGGAAGGCCCTTTGTGTATAAACGCCCACACCCTTAGACAGGACCAGCTGCATAACTTGTTTAAAAATTATTAAGAATTGTTAAGACAGTGACAAGAGTGTGTGAAGCCAAACCTCGGGCCCTTCTAAATAATGGGCTCTATGTAATTGCGTAGGTTGTGTGCATAAACCAGCCCTGCTCCCAGAAAACCCCTGGCCTGCCGACGCCCCACCCCATCTCTCTCCTGGACCACAGAATGTCTTTGAGACCTTGACTTGAAGGTGGGTCTGGGCAGACACGCACCCGCTCTGCTGCTTCACGTCTTACACTGTCCTCAGTGGCCAGTGTCCAATGCCTCACACTCACCTTCTTCCCAGAGAAACCGAGGCAGCAGGGAGGCCTGAGGCCTCTCAGTCCTGTGCAGTGCTACCCGTCCCATATGACCAGGGGAGGGTCAGGGGTGGTGACTGGGTCTGGGACTCCCCCCCGCTTCCCATGGTGTGCCAACCCCGGTGCTCTGGGTGGGTGGCAGCTGGCAGAGAAGTTGCTGCCCTGGCTTTCTGTTCCCCATCCTGGTCACGCTTCC